ATAGCAATACAAGCCTTTCTCAAGAAACAAGAAAGGTCTCAAGTACACAACCTAACCCTACACCTAAAGGAGCTGGAGAAAGAACAGCAAATAAAGCCTAAACCCAGCAGGAGAAGAGAAATAATAAAGATCAGAGCAGAGATCAATGAAATAGAAACTAAAAGAACAGTAGAGCAGATCAATGAAACTAGGAGCTGGTTCTTTGAAAGAATTAACAAGATTGATAAACCCCTGTCCAGACTTATCAAAAAGAAAAGAGAAATGACCCAAATCAACAAAATCATGAATGAAAGAGGAGAAATCACAACCAACACCAAAGAAATACAAACAATTATAGGAACATATTATGAACAACTCTATGCCAGCAAATTAGATAACCTGGAAGAAATGGATGCATTCCCAGAGATGTATCAACTATCAAAACTGAACCAGGAAGAAATAGAAAACCTGAAAAGACCTATAACCACTAAGGAAATTGAAGCAGTCATCAAAAATCTCCCAAAAAACAAAAGCCCAGGGCCAGATGGCTTCCCAGGGGAATAATACCAAACATTTAAAGAAGAATTAATACCTATTCTTCTGAAACTGTTCCAAAAAAAATAGAAATGGAAGGAAAACTTCCAAACTCATTTTATGAGGCCAGCATTACCTTGATCCCAAAACCAGACAAAGACCCTATCAAAAAAGAGAATTACAGACCAATATCCCTGATGAACATGGATGCAAAAATTCTCACCAAAATACTAGCCAATAGGATCCAACAGTACATTAAGAGGATTATTCACCATGACCAAGTGGGATTTATCCCTGGGCTGCAAGTTTGGTTCAACATCCGCAAATCAATCAACGTGATACAATACATTAACAAAAGAAAGAACAAGAATCATATGATCCTCTCAATAGATGCAGAAAAAGCATTTGACAAAGTACAGCATCCTTCCTTGATCAAAACTCTTCAGAGTATAGGGATAGAGGGTACATACCTCAATATCATAAAAGCCATCTATGAAAAACCTACAGCGAATATCATTCTCAATGGGGAAAAACTGAGAGCTTTCCCCCTAAGGTCAGGAGCGCGGCAGGGATGTCCACTATCACCACTGCTATTCAACATAATATTGGAAGTCCTAGCCACAGCAATCAGACAACAAAAAGAAATCAAAGGCATCCAAATAGGCAAAGAAGAAGTGAAACTCTCACTCTTTGCAGATGATATGATACTTTATGTGGAAAACCCAAAAGACTCCACCCCAAAACTGCTAGAACTCATACAGGAATTCAGTTAAGTGGTAGGATATAAAATCAGTGCACAGAAGTAAGTGGCATTCCTATACACCAACAACAAGACAGAAGAAAGAGAAATTAAGGAGTCGATCCCATTTACAATTGCCCCCAAAACCATAAGATACCTAGGACTAAATCTAACCAAAGAGGCAAAGGATCTGTACTCAGAAAACTATAAAATACTCATGAAAGAAATTGAGGAAGACACAAAGAAATGGAAAAATGTTCCATGCTCATGGATTGGAAGAACAAATATTGTGAAGATGTCAATGCTACCTAAAGCAATCTACACATTCAATGCAATTCCCATCAAAATACCATCCACTTTTTTCAAAGAAATGGAACAAATAATCCTAAAATTTGTATGGAACCAGAAAAGACCCCGCATAGCCAGAGGAATGTTGAAAAAGAAAAGCAAAGCTGGTGGCATCACAATTCTGGACTTCAAGCTCTATTACAAAGCTGTCATCATCAAGACAGTGTGGTACTGGACAAAAACAGGCACATAGATCAATGGAACAGAATAGAGAGCCCAGAAATGGACCCTCAACTCTATGGTCAACTTATCTTTGACAAAGCAGGAAAGAATGTCCAATGGGAAAAAGACAGTCTCTTCAACAAATGGTGTTGGGAAAATTGGATAGCCACATGCAGAAGAATGAAACTGGACCATTTTCTTACACCACACACAAAAATAGACTCAAAATGGTTGAAAGACCTCAATGTGAGACAGGAGTCCATCAACATCCTAAAGGAGAACACAGGCAGCAACCTCTTCGACCTCAGCTGCAGCAAATTCTTCCTAGAAACATCGCTAAAGGCAAGGTAAGCAAGGGCAAAAATGAACTATTGGGACGTCATCAAGATAAAAAGCTTTTGCAAAGCAAAGGAAACAGTCAACAAAACCAAAAGACAACCGACAGAATGGGAGAAGATATTTGCAAATGACATATCAGATAAAGGGCTAGTATCCAATATCTATAAAGAACTCATCAAACTCAATACCCAAAGAACAAAGAATCCAATCAAGAAATGGGCAGAAGACATGAACAGACCTTTTTCTAAAGAAGACATCCAAATGGCCAACAGACACATGAAAAAGTGCTCAATATCGCTCCACATCAGGGAAATCCAAATCAAAACCTCAATGAGATACCACCTCACACCAGTCAGAATGGCTAAAATTAACAAGTCAGGAAATGACAGATGTTGGCAGAGAAAGGGGAACCCTCCTACACTGTTGGTGGGCATGCAAGCTGCTGCAGCCACTCTGGAAAACAGTATGGAGGTTCCTCAAGAAGTTGAAAATAGAGCTACCATATGATCCAGCAATTGCACTACTGGGTATTTACCCCAAAGATACAAAAGGAGGGATCCGAAAGGGTACGTGCACCCCGATGTTTATAGCAGCAATGTCCACAATAGCCAAACTGTGGAAAGAGCCAAGATGTCCATCAACAGATGAATGGATAAAGAAGAAGTGGTATATATATACAATGGAATATTATGCAGCCATTAAAAGGAATGAAATCTTGCCATTTGCAACGACATGGATGGAACTGGAGGGTGTTATGCTGAGCGAAATAAGTCAATCAGAGAAAGACATGTATCATATGACCTCACTGATATGAGGAATTCTTAATCTCAGGAAACAAACTGAGGGTTGCTGGAGTGGGGGGTGGGGTGGGAGGGATGGGGTGGCTGGGTGATAGACACTGGGGAGGGTATGTGCTCTGGTAAATGCTTTGAATTGTGCAAGACTATTGAATCTCAGAACTGTACCTCTGAAACAAATAATGCAATATATGTTAAGAAAAAAAAAAAAAGAAGAAGGTAGCAGGAGGGGAAGAATGAAGTTGGGGAATCGGAGGGGTAGACGAACCATGAGAGATGATGGACTCTGAAAAACAAACTGAGGGTTCTAGAGGGGAGGGGGGTGGGAGGATGGGTTAGCCTGGTGATGGGTATTGAGGAGGGCACGTTCTGCATGGAGCAGTGGGTGTTATGCACAAACAATGAATCATGGAACACTACATCTAAAACTAATGATGTAATGGATGGGGATTAACATAACAATAAAAAAATTAAAAAAAAAGAAAGCAAGCTTTTATTATTTTAAATTGTTTAACTTTCACACATTTAATCTCCCTTTTAAAAGTAAAAAAAATGTGGGGGCGCCTGGGTGGCTCAGTCCTTAAGCGTCTGCCTTCGGCTCAGGTCATGATCCCAGGGTCCTGGGATCGAGCCCCGCATCGGGCTCCCTGCTCGGTGGGAAGCCTGCTTCTCCCTTTCCCACTCCCCCTGCTTGTGTTCCCTCTCTCGTTGTGTCTCTCTCTGTCAAATAAATAAAATCTTAAAAAAATAAAAAATAAAAAAATGCTTTTCTGCTATAAAATAGTATATGTTCACTATAAAAATTTAGATAACAAAATAGCCCCTGCTAACATTTTGGTGAATACTTGCCAGGTTTATTATTATTACATGTTTATATATGATGTATTTGTGTATATGTGTGTATATATATATATGTACATACATGATGAAAGATCTCACTATAACGCTTTTGTTACCTCCTTTATAATTTAATAATATGTCAATAACCATAGATGTATGTTATTCTTTTAAATAATGTCCTTTCAGATTTTGTTTTAAATAAAAATAGGAGTTTCAAAGTATTCTTCTCTCTTATAGAAAGGAAAACATTTGCTGTGATTTTTAAAAATTGTCTCCTTTTGTGAAGAACGCTATCTTTATATATCTAGTGATTGTTTTTCCAATTTATTCATATTTACAAGGGGAAGTTTACATTTGCTGTGTTGGAATCTGAGAATGGTTCTGTCAGAAACTGTGTAAGGCTCTGTTCAGTTATCTTGGTCATACCCTATTGGCCAAATAAGTGGTCCACAGGACTCTTGAGTAGTAGAGAGGAGCTATTGGTGAGACCGCTGCATGTCAGGGAAGGTTCATCCTTTACTGAGGGCATTTATTGTCTGTGTGGGAGCAGTGGTTGAACCAGAGGTCCAGCTGTCTATGTAAAATGAATAAAGAGCTCCGGGGCCAAGTAGCGGGCTTCCTCTTTCATATTTGTTGCAAGAGTCCATGTTAGGTGAGTTCCATGTTACTTGGACCAAATCCCTTCATAGCATCATTTGCCGCAATATCTTTGCTTTGATTAGCATGCTGTTTTACCCAGTGAATGCTGAGGATGGACATAAAAATTGGCTGGCATGTATTTGGGGCATTGGTAGAATTCCATTAATCCTTGGGTTTGTAACTGATCAACTATCACAGTCAATTTTTTTTTTCCTGGCCCCTACTGCTCTGGGCTTGCAAGTTCTCTGGATTTGTAGGAGAATGGCATTCACTTACTCCCTCAGAGGGTTCCTCCTTTGCTGTGTTCAGTTGCAGACTAGTAGGTAACTCCCTTGGCCTAATCCTACCTGTGCCATATCTAATAGAAATCTCCCAAAGTGTCTGGACACTGATGGCATCCTTCTCTGTTTAATAGAAACAGATGAAAACAAAAAACACTCCTCATTGTGTATTTTGTAGGTCATGCCAATAGGTTTGGAGGAGGGAAGAATTGAAATTCATGGACTCATGTGATTCGTCCTGGTCAAAGAGAGAAATGGATTTACCAGTGTGAAATACATTCATGAATCCAGGGTATATTGTATCTCTTACTTTTCCTTTATCTACCAGATATTTCTGTTTTTATGATAGATGATTCAACACGTGTTCCTCTTGGAGAAAACAAGGACTACATCAATGCTAGCTATATTAGAATAGTCAATTCTGGAGAAGAGTATTTTTATATTGCTTCTCAAGGACCACTGCCAAGTACGACAGATGACTTTTGGCAAATGGTTTTAGAGAATAACTCTAATGTTATTGTCATGATAACCAGAGAGATAGAAGGTGGAATTATCAAATGCCACCATTACTGGCCCATTTCTATGAAGAAGCCTTTGGAATTGAAAAACTGTCATATCTTCCTGGAGAACTACCAGATACTTCAATATTTTATCATCCGAATATTTCACGTTGTGAAGAAGTCTGTAAGTTTTAAAAAATCAGTATGAGATATATATTTGCTTAGATAAGCCACATGTCAGGATGAGAAGTTAGGATTAGGATGTGTTACAGACTGGGGATACTTTTTTGAGTAATTTGTTTTTAATTCTCACTGGTACCAGAAACTAAGACACCACTGTATCTGCTTCTGCTTAACCAAACTCTGACTGGAGAGATGAAAAACCTAAACAGGGGAGGTGGGGCAGGGAGTGATGACAGTATTGGAAGTTGCCTAATCCTGGGATGTCCTTTGGATGCTTCTGCTGAGTGTGACAGAGATGTATTGAGTCTTTAAAGTATATTGCTAACCACTGTGCCAGGCACTATCACCACCTTACTTATTGGAGATTTGGGTATGCTTACTGATACTTCCAGTTACTGTGCTCCATGATAATATGGGATGCTTTGAGGGTCTGGAAGGGAAGTACGTAGCTTCATGTAGGGCTTAGGGGAAGGTTTGTTGGAGGAGGGAACATCTGGATTGAGAACTACCCAAATGACAAAGATGGAAAGAAAAAGTAGGTAATCAAGATCTAAAATAGCATGGGGTATATATAGAGAATTGTAGGTAGTTAAGTGTTTCTGGAATGTAAAAGTTTAATGCCAGGGAATAATGAGAGGTGAGATGAAGCTATATAAAGTAAGCAGGGACCAGTCAGAACATGAAATATCTTGGATGTTGACTAAGGAGCATGAACTTCATTATGAAGATAATTGGGAGACATTGAAGAATTTCAATAAGCAGGTGCCATGATTAACCAGGGCAGTTGGCATTGAGATGGAATGCAGAGACTTTGGTGTTTTTTCATATAAAATTGGCAGACTTTATATGTGACTTATGACTTGTGACCAGAAGGAGTGGTCAGAATTAAACTATTTAATACAATAGCCACATGTGGCTATTTAAGCTTAAATTTAAATTATTTAAACTTAGATGAAACAACAAATTCAGTGTCTCACTTGCAGTAGCCACATATCTGGTGTTTAGTTACATGTCACTAATGGCTATCATACTGGGCAGCACAGAGGTAGAACATTTGCATCATTGTAGAAAGTTCTGTTGGGAAGTGTTGATCTAGAATAACTCCTAGATTTCATGCTTTAATAGATTCAAAAATAGAAAAGGAATGGTTTATAGGAAAAAAAGTGATGAGTTACATTGCTCTAAGTGGATTTGATTAGCAAGTAGGTAATACATGTGTTCAACAGGAATGAAGGGGATGGGTGTTAAACAGGAAGCCTGACAAGAGTGACGAGTCATCACCAAAGAAGTTGATTGGAGTCCAAACAGTAACTAGGAAAAGGGTTGCTGGAAGTGCTGAAGTTGGAACCCATAAATTTTCAATAGCAATAAAATATGTACCTACAGATTATTTTCTTCCCAGCATCCTAACTATGGGATTCCTGAACACAGGTTATGGGACTGACCCAGGGTAGGATTATGTGTGGTAAAATTCAAAGGATGAAAGGTCGTAACAGTTTGGTAAGAAAATGATTCAGATAGTCAGCCATGAAGTCTAAATTTAGGGGGACAAATGGAACCAGGAATCAGTCAAGTAGGAGTAAGTGGAGGGCGTAAAGGACAGAGGGGCTCCATTTGGTCACATTGTTGTTGGAGTAGAAGTGGGGCACAAATGAGATGGTAGCATATGAACTTCTGGTCAGAAAGTGATGTTGGAATTTAAGAACTGGAAGATTTTTAATACTGGACATTATAGGTAATGCTAAGTTCAAGGAGTGACCATCGCTGTGAGGACTAGAAGAAACGAGTAGTCTCTCCTGCAAGAGAGAAATACAAATTCTGTGAGGTTAGAGTGTCTGTTGGGCTGTTGAGACCCAGGTTTGCCCTGGATGATGTCAGAGTCTGTGGGAGAGGGAAGGTCAGGGTCTTCAGTGAATGTGGCAGATTGACTGGAGGCTAAAGCCACTTGGTAATAGTAATGAGAGGGTGAAGGTATGAAGCTAAGAGGTATGAAACTCAAAAGGGAAAGGGTTTTTACACAAGAAGAAATGATGGATTGGAAACAGGACTGGGCAGCAAGGAGTACACAACCTAATCGCCATGCTCTGTGGGACCTGGAGAACGGGAGAGTAGGTGGCCTCCATGGGAGGGAGGGGCTGCAGAGAGTGAAGTGCTGTAGAAGGCAAGGAAGGAAATGGAAGAAGCATTTAGGGAAATGATGAGGGTTTCGAAGAGTTTACTATGGGATGGGGCACCTGCTTGCAAAGGGAGAAGTTGATGAGTTAAAGGAGTAGGATCGGAGGGAAAGCTGGAATTGAAAAGTATGAGGAGGATCGGCACATGGGTGGTGACCAGGGAGGCCAAGAATGATGGCTGACACTTGCTAGCTGTGTGCTAGGCCTTGCACTTGGTTGTGCACTTGGGGACTCGCCTCAGCCCTCACTCCCCTAATACTTGTTGATTCCCTCCTGTATTAACCAGGTGTTGTGCCAGGTGCTAGAGACAGAACGCATACACATTCTCAGCTCTTAGAGTGCTTATAGTCTAGTGGGAAAGGAAATTCCAACTGACTTGTGAGGCACATGTTATGGCAAAAGAAAGACAGCCTGCTTGGAGAGTATAGGCAGGTGGGAGGCACAGAGGAATGATCTGTTTGCAGGGACTCAAAGGCTGCGGTCCACCTGTGGAGCCTTGGCAAGGGGTTGAGGCCCACAAGCTTCAGAACCATGGGGTTCATGTTTGAAGAATCTGCATCAGGATTTCTGTCTGAATGGTATTAGGTCAGGAAAGTGGTGAGGTCCCCCTTTACGAAGATGCTTAGTGGTCACCAGTGGCAGGAGAGATTTAACCCCTAAAATACGTGGTAGGGTTAGAGCTGTCCTCAACTTGGTGCCTTCACAAACTTTGCAAGGGTTGTTGGCATCATTCAATTTCATGTACCAGTGATTCAAACTTGAGTTTTCTATTTGGGACTTAGGAAAACTTATTTCTGTTTGGAACTCAGGAAAAACGGGTGCATTAGGGAGAAGCAGGAGAGGAGTAAGAAACCCATCCTGAGTTTTCCCACAAGGGTTCCCAGTGAAGTAAAATGAGGGCTTCACACTGGGAAAGGCTCCCACTTTGGAAGGGACAATGTGTAAACTCAAAGTGCTTTATCTGTCAACTCTGAGGAGAGTTTCATGACTGTATTTTCAGGGGGCTCAGCACGAGAGTGGGGGCACAGTCCACTCACTTGGTCATCACCTACCCTGTCCTCATCACCAGAAGAGGTTGGGGCCCCACTGGTCAAGCAACTTGGCAGCACCTACCTGTTTTAAATTTGTATCATAGTATTTAAGCTAAGATAGAATGCTTTTCTTAATGTGTTAGCCCATCTTTCACTCTGAGTTTTTTGGGTTCTTGGTTTTTCTGCAGTACCATGGTCCAGAAGAAAGATGATAGATTTGAATTCAGGAGGCCTACATTATAGTTCCAGCTCTGAACACGCGAGCCTTCTGACCTAGCATGCATCTCCCAATCACCCGAATCCTTACTTTTTCATCTGTAAGATGGGGATGAAACAGTACCTACCTCCCAGAGTTGACGTGAGGATTAAATGGAAAGAAAGCATATGAACTTTCTAGCATAGTACCTGGCACATCGTGAGGGCTTAAATCATGCTACCTCTTCGTATTGTGATTTTCATTATTGTATGACCATAGAGCCATTATTATTATTATTAGTAGTAGTACTATATTAGAAATTCAATTTAGATCTTTAATATAAGAAGTTGATAAATCTCTCTCTTCCCCTCCTTCCTCCTCCCTCCCTTCCTCTCCCTCCTCTTCTCTTCCTCCCCTTCTCTCTCCACAGACAGGAAGTAGTCACTTTGTAAAACACTTGCAGTTCACCAGCTGGCCAGACCATGGCACTCCTGCCTCGGTAGATGGCTTCATAAAGTATGTGCGTTATGTGAGGAAGAGCCACCTTACAGGACCTATGCTTGTTCACTGCAGTGCTGGCGTGGGCCGGACGGGGGTGTTCCTATGTGTGGATGTTGTGTTCTGTGCCATTGAAAAGAACTTTCCAGTAAGTGTGTGAATTAAACAGATAACTGATGCTGTTAGCAAACACTCTACTCGTAACAGCCTTCTAGGGCCTGGAGACTAAGATTTGGCCTTCAGGAGAACTCAGTAAAGAGAAAGCCTGTGAACTTTGGGGACCTGCTTCTAAATTCAGTGCCGCAGGTTCCTGGAGGTGGCCATGATGCTCACAGCACAGAAAGCACACGAAGGATATGGGACAGTGTTGGGGACACAGTAGATGCACAGTGGATGCGACTTCATTTCCCTTTCCTCCCCTCTACCCACACATAGAGGTTTTTAAATCTGGTTAAAGAATGTTGATGAAGTATGCCTGTTTTTAATGAACAGAAATGCATGCACATTAGCACATTGGAAAACATGTAGACTTTAGAGTTTTAATGAGAGGTCCCTAGCTTGGACTGCCAGTTTTGCCTCATACTTTAGATTTTGGTGACTTTGTGCACATTGCTTATCCTCTCTGAAACCCAGTTTTCTCTTGTGTAAAATAAGGATAATAATATTGTTGGGTTTGAGTCCGTCATTAACAATTGTTTGCTATCCTTCTAAAATTGGAACCAGCTGAGAGATAGACCCAAGAATTAGACACATATTAATTATACTATTACCTTTACTGTTGATTAAACTGCTTAGAGAACATGACCTGAGATTTGTGGCCAGAAAGGCTGACTCACTGAACTGTTTTTCCTGTGCTGTGGAAGTGCAAAGGGGAAGACATCTGTTTATTAGCAGGCACGAGGGGGGTCCGGCGGTGGGGGGGGGGTGGTGGCTCTTACCACCGTGCCATGACCACAAGGAATGCAACCCCCCCCTCCCCCATGAGAAAGCCTGCTACCAGGCATTTGCCTTACCAGGCAAATTCTGCAGTTAGATTATCATCACAACAACTAAATCTCTGCTCTCTTGGGCCTTCCCTAGTTAAACCCTAACAGTGGGAGGCTCTCTCCCATGGCAGCAGAATGGCTGTTTTGGTTCCAGAACTCAGCATCCTCAGGCCATATTATATGGGAGGGTGGGAAAATGGCTTCTCCCCATAACTCCTTGGAGGACAGAGGAAATTTCTTTTTGTCAGAAACTTGAGCCAGTATCTCCCAGCATTTCAACTGCTTCTGAGTTGTAGCCCCTTCCCTGAACTAATCACTGTGGGAGATGCTGGTCTTTTTAGGCCAGTCAGGACTACTCCAGGCCATAAGGCTGAAAGTGAGAGAGGAATGGTTTTCCAAAGCAAACTCAGAGAATGAATATAAACTGGAGAGTGCCCCCCATCCTCCCAAAAAAGACCAATGTGCTGAAAAGGGCTGAAAATTTAAGTAGTATAAGTCTGATATTACCCATTCCCATAACTAATGTTGTTTGATCCTTTTAGCAGAAATTTGTTAGTATAATTTTCTTTTATATATTCCCCATCATAATTTCTTAAATAGTTGGTTTATGTTTGTCCTTATTTTATTTTCCTTGTAGAAACTGTAAAAACTGTAAATATTATACTTCATGATCCTAAGGAGCACTGTTTTCTCCCACATTATACCTTCTTTAAACTCGGAATGTGTTTTATAATGAGTCACGTTTAGTTGACAGTGTTTTTCTTAGTGGTACATAAAATAATGATGCATTTTGCAATTAAGGATGCTTAGATTTGAGAGACTAATTCAAAAATAGAAAACACATCCATTGTTTCCTTATTGGCTTTCCACAGAACCTTGAACTGTCAAATGTTCTTACTGATGCCCCTTTCTACTCTTTTCAGAAATTTTGTCCACCAGAGCTACTAAATGTGGTCTTAAACCAGCCCCAATCTGTGGATGTCTGTCATCTACAGTAAGAGAATTTCCTAGAAATTGAGAGTAAGCATTTAGAAACTTCCAGAGCAGTTTGCTGTATTGCTGTGACACCCAAGAGCATGACCAGTGAGTGGATTGGTCTTGACGAACAGGGTGTAGACCAGTTTGTGTGTTGTGGAACTCACATGGGGAGTTGTACATCCAGCAAGCTGCATGCCAGCTATGTGAGACTGGACAGTTGTGACCTGCAATGCTGTAAGATTCCTTGATCAATTATAACTCTAAAGGGTATGAAAAGCTGAGAATATGTAACCATTTATTTCTTTTTTAATTGTTATTTTTATAGTCATTTTCATTTTTAACCACTCCTGCTTAAAAATCCGTAAAATGTTGGGAGCAAACTGGCTCTTATCTTACAGAAGAACTGAGATTGCTCTGTACTTTAATTGACCTTTCTCCTCTAAGTCTTTGGTGCACAAGAAGGGCTGTTCATTATCAGTTAATCATATTATCACATATTAAAGTGAATAATCCAGAATTAACACATTAGCCTTTACATAATTAAAAATTCTTACTACACCACTATGCACACTGTCAAGTTTACCTGGCAGGGTTTTGTCTTTTTGTTTGTTTTTGTTTTTGTTCTTGTAGTAAGATTCTCTCTCTTTTTTTTTTAAGATGGTATTTATTCATTTGAGACACAGAGATACAGAGAGAGAGAGAGCACGAGCAGGGGGAGAGGCAGAGGGAGAGGGAGAAGCAGGCTCCCCGCCGAGCCAGGAGCCTGACGTGGGGCTCGATCCCAGGACCCCGGGATCATGACCTGAGCCGAAGGCAGATGCTTAACTGACTGAGCCACCCAGGCGCCCCTGTAGTAAGATTCTCTTGATGAAGCAGTGTGATTTATCTTTGGGCACAAATTCCTTGATCGGTGTAATACCTCAGACGGCTTTCTTGTCCTTGCAGCTCTGCTACCAGAACATAATCCTACACAAAGCCCAAGCTCCAAATCACATTTGGTGACAATGTAATACTTGCATTTCTGCACAGTTTAGAGCTAGTTGTTTGTCAGTAATCAAGCAGAAAAAAGGAAGAATTCTTCCTTCTTGACATATCATGTTCAAATAACACACATCCTGAATCACTGTTAGCAATATCTCCGTATTCATTAAGTTGCAGTGGTGAATGCATTGATACTTTTATTTGCTTCATAAGTTGGCACCACTTCATATCATTAGCCAGTCCCTGAATTTGTCAAGCTGTTGTGTCATTAGAAAACGGTACTTTCTGTGGGCCTCTCCTAGTGAACCTGCCATAGGAGCATGCAGCCCTGAACCATTGCCCAGCCTTCTCGCAGGTGGGCTGGGCTGTGAGCACTGAAGGGGGCTGTACAGTGTGGGGGGAAAAAAGAAAAGAAAACGGTACTTTAACTGTCCTTTTTGCCACATATTTACCCAAATTTTCCAAAACATCTTCAGTAGTCTTTCATCGTTGTCCTGGTAATTGTATATGTTTTTTTTGTTTTTTTTTTTTAAGATTTTATTTATTTATTTGACAGAGAGAGATAGCGAGAGCAGGAACACAAGGAGGGGGAGTGGGAGAGGGAGAAGCAGGCTTCCCGCTGAGCAGGGACCCCGATGCGGGGCTCCATCCCAGGACCCTGGATCATGACCTGAGCCGAAGGCAGATGCTTAACGACTGAGCCACCCAGGCGCCCGTATATGGGTTTTTAGTCTTAGCAATTCAAGTGCTATTTTGTAAGTCTGCAGAACATTAATGTTACATGTGAAAAATAATGAACATCAGCTTCTGTTTTTAAATTTAATATTCTTTTAAATAATTCTTTTGTCTTTGAACTTATTTCTTCTTTTTGTAAATGACAAGTAAATTTTAATAGTTCCTTTGCTTTATTAGCCAGTACATCTTTGCAATTAAAACAGGTGTGGCTTTAGCAATTCACAATCAATAATGGCTATAAGATACAACACATAAGGAATCATAGTTCCAAGTTAAATGAACATGAACTCTTTTTGCCTTCATTTCTTTGCAGTTATTTCCATTATCATCATTGGGTTAACCACTATAGCTACCTTCAGAAAGCTGTGTTTTTCTTGACAAGACAGTCCACTGAAACTTGTTTTGCCATCATTAAATTAAGATGAAAAATGAATAATACAAAATTCATTTCAATAAGTTGCCTAATCTTAAATTATAAATTAAAAAACAGGCTTTCAAAGAAGTAACAGTCTTTAAATTCAGTGAGATTTCATTTCATTAATATTTCCTCTTATGGATCATGCTTTTGGTTTCAAGTCTAAGAACTCCTCGCCTAGCCTAGGTCCCAAATAATTTTTGCTATATTGTTTTCTAAACATTCTGTGTTTTAAAATGTTTTATATTTAAGTCCATAATCCATTTTGAGTTAATTTTTGTATAAGGTATGAAGTTTAAATCAAGGTTACTTTTCCTTTATTTTTATTTTTTGCCTATAGATGTCTAATTTTCTAGCACCATTTGTTGAAAAGCTATCCTTCCTCCACCAAATTGCTTTGCACCTTTGTCAAAAATCACTGGGCATGTTTGTATGGGCCATTTTCTGGTTCTGTATTCTGTTCCATTGATCTGTGTGTCTATCCTTCTGCCAGTACCACTCTATAGATTCCTGTATCTGTATATAACATCAGGAAGAGTGATTCCTTTATTCTTTTTAAAAATTGTTTTAACTCTTACAGGGTCTGTGCTTTCCCACATAAATTTTAGAATTAGCTTGTCTATGTCTACAAAAAAGCTTGCAGGGATTTCGATAGGAATTGCTTTAAATATGCAGATCAGTTTGGGGAGAACATCATGACATCTTTGCTATGTTGAATCCTCCAATCCATGAACATGGTATGTCTTTCCATTTATTTAGGTCTTCTTTAATTTCATTCATCAGCATTTTGTCATTTTCAGCATATAGATCCTATATGTGTTTTTTTAGATTTATCCTATTTCATTTTCTTTGGAGCAATTGTAAATGGTATTGTGTTTTTACTATCAGCTTCCACATGTTCATTGTTAATATGTAGAAATATGATTGATTTTTGTGTGTTGATCTTGTATGCTGTGATTTTACTGAACTCACCAGTTCTAACAGGGTTTTTTGGGGGAGGATTCTATTTTGTTCTGTTTTTAGATGCCTTGGGATTTTCTATGTAGACAATCATTCTAGTTACAAATAGGGACATATTTATCTCTTCCTTTCCAACCTGTGTGCCTCTTATTTGTTTTTCTGGCCTTGTTAAGCTACCTAGAACTTTAAGTATTGGGTTTAATACATGTGGTGAGAGCAAACATTCTTGCCATTACTAATGTTAGGGGGAAAGCAAATTAAAATAATTTGTTTTGTAAAAGACCCTGTGAGGAGAAAGAAAAGACAAGCTAAAGACTTGGAGACACTGCAGATCACATATCCAACAAAGGTCTTACATTTATAATTATAGAAGCCATCCTCAAAACTCAGTAGTAAAGAACAAAAAACAAAAAAGCAGCCCAGTTAGAAAGTGGGTAAGAGATATGAACAGACATTTCACCAAAGAGTATAAAAGGATGACAAATTACCACATAAAAAGATGTTCAGCTTCATTAGCTTTTAGGGAAATGAAATTAAAACTATGATGAAATATCATTAGACATCTATCAGAAAGACTAATATAAAAAATAGTGACACCACCAAGTGCTGGTTTAGAGTTGAAGAAACTAGATTAATTATTTGTTGCTTGTGGGAATGTAAAATGGTATACTCATTCTAGAAAATAGTTTTACAGCTTCTCTTCTTTTCTTTTTTTTAGAGAGAGTGCACAAGTGCCGGGTGGGGAGAGGGGCACAGGGAGAGAATCTTAAAGAGGCTCCACAGTCAGTGCAGTCCCCAACACAGGCCTCGATTTCATGACCCTGAGATCATGACCTAAGCCAAAATCAAGAGTCACATGCTTGACCAACTGAGCCACCCAGGTGCCCCTACAATTTCTTTAAAACAAACAGAAACAAAACTAAACTAAATTTACCATATAACTCCAGCAATAGCACTCTTGGGTGTTTGTCCCAGAGAAATGAAAATTTACGTTCACACAAAAGCCTGTATATAAATGTTCATAGTAGATCTATTCATAATAGCCAAAACCTGGAATCAACCTAGATGTCCTTCCACAAGCTGATGATTCAACAGACTGGTACATGTCCATGCCATGCAATACTACTAAGCAATAAAAAGGAATGAACTATTGATTTGCACAACAATTTGGATAGATCTCAAAGCAATTATGCTGAATGAAAAAAAAAGTCAGTCTCAAAAGGTTAGATATTATGTGATTCCATTCATATAATCCTCTTAAAGTAACAAAACAGTCGATATGGAGAACAGATGAGACTGGTTGCCAAGGGTTAGGAACTGGGTTGGATGAGTAGTTCTAATGGATAACATGAGAAAGTCTTGTGGTGGAACAGTTATGTATCTTGATTGTGGTTGCAGTTGCCTGAGTATTCACATGTAGTAATACTGCACAAAACTACACAAACACATACACACAAACTCACAAATGATTGCCTGAAAAACTGGCAAAATCTGAATAGGCTCCATGGATCATACCAATGTCAGTTTCCGGGTTTTGATATTATACTATAATTATACAGGATGGCATAATTGGGGAGATTGGGTGAAGGGTACATAGGATGTCCATGTACATTTTTTTTGCAACTTACTGTATATCTATAATTATTCCAGTATAAAATTTTTTAATGGCTCAATTAAAATTTTAAATTATTATAAAAATGAAAAGTTATATATATAAGGGATTGGTTACATTTTCTCTGATTTTCATATATTTTGGGGTTATAGATAATAAACCTTAAAATTTCATGTATTGATGCGGTTTTGCTGAACATGACTGGTCCTCAGCTTGCACCACTTGTGGCCCTTAGGCAAGTTCAGCATCACCCGAGATGGTCTATATCCTGTTCTGCTAGTGATGCTCCTTGATGCTGCTGTCAGATTGCCAGAAGAGTTTCTAAACACTTAACTACCAGTTTCTGGACTTATCTTACTGTGGAATAGCAACAGCTCCTTGCAGACCTGCACCAGCTCAGCAACCACACTGGCTAGGCTGGTCTCCACACACAGGTGCAGACTCTGGTATCAGGCCAACTGTTGCTCGGGGTCTCCATTTGAGTTGAGAGGACTCTTTAGATGAGAAACAGCTGTGTTACTATGTGGCCAGAGAAAGTATTCTATGCTTCAGACTTTTCCAGAATTAGAGTGCTGCTTTAAGTTTTCCCTTTGGAGAACAGAAGAGTAGACACCGGGGCAAATTTGTTGTTATTTCTTTTGGAGAGCATTTCTTATTATAAATGATTGCTTCCTGCTTTTTCCTGGAAACCTTTTAAACTAAAGTCTTCCTTCTCCATTAGAGTAGGTTAAAAATAGTACATTCTCTTATTGCTGGAAATGAGACCTTTCTGGTTAAATCTTGACATCTCTTTTACTGGAAAGAATTATGGAGTACTCATTTGGCAATCTGTGGGTTTGTGTTTTCCCCCTATGTGAATAATACAAAAATCACTGTCATCCTGTTGCAGTTCAACATCAAGAATATAGTGACCCAAATGAGAGAACAGCGTTATGGCATGATTCAAACGAAGGTAAGCTCTCACTACATAAATTCTAATAAAAAGAATAATGAATATAAAGATTAACATGTATAGCATGTTACAATTTGTAAATCTCTTTTACCTATATGATGTCATTGAATTCTCACTGCTTGGGGTAGACATTAATTTTCTCTGATATTACTGATGAAGTACTTCACATTCAGAATAATGAAGTCTGTTCTGTGAAGTCATTCATATAGTACGTGGAGGAGCCAGGTGGGAAACTGAAGTCTCCTGATGCCCAAACATATGCTTTGTCCATCCATGATGCTATGTTATTTAAGTAACGTATCTGAAGTTATTCATAGGTTTCTGGATAGAAGTTTTGGGATATTTACTTGCCACTAAATTATTGAAGTCATTGGCATGTCATAAAAAGATAGCATTGATGTTACAGATTAGTTATTAATCATTGGCAGAGGGAATCAAGAGTATGGTGGATAATGAAAACAAACAGGAACCCCTAAATCCTTAGGATGGCCTGTTTTTAGGCCAATGTTGAATGATAGGAAGCATTTTCTTTGAACTTGGGTTGCCTGAGAGACCTGAGGCTACACCTAAAAAAAAAAAAAAAGAAAGAAAGAAAAGAAAAGAAAGTTTAAATGTGATGTATCCAGGGAAATATAAGGAGATCGAGATTGAGGTTCAGTTTCCCCTCTGTTCAGCTAAGCCTTGAGTTAATTAATTCTAGACCAAGCACTATATTACCATTTTTCTTCCTGATATTTAAAAAATATATGTTTTCATAAAGAAGTTCCTGGCTAAATGTTTGCTCTTTTTAGGAACTTTCCTTTATGGTTGAAAATTACAACTGTGTTTTCTGAAAGTGGATATTGGTATTCAACTACTTAACATTCTGTTGTTTTTCATATATATGTATATAGGAGCAGTATTTCTTTTGTTATAAAGTTGTGCTTGAAGTTCTTCAGAAGCTTCTGACTTTAGATTAAGAAAGACTTCTGTTGCCTCACATTTGAAATTACCAAGCACCTTGGAGCCTCCTCATAAAGAACACGTTCCGGTTGTGCTGAAGGGCTTTGCTTACGTGTACCATGTGCTTTCTGGGTGTATCATTTGCCTTTCTTTCTGACAACTCCCTGAAGGCAGCATCATTTGGTTTGGGGTGAACAGTGTTTATCCATTCATCTTACTTCGATAATAGCAAAATACACTCCCACATTTTCCAGTGAAACAAAAGTTGCATAAAACAACTGCAGCCCATGTGGTCAAAGGGATTACAGAGCCCAATAAAGGACTTGAACTATATTCATTAAGATGCCATTTGGACAGGCAGCTAAAGGAAGCTGAGGATTTCCAGGACCTTATAAAGCCCTTACCTTATTCTGGAGAACACAGGGCTAGTAAATGCAAGATCACATCATGAGCTCTTACAGGCCTTTTCAAGACAGATACTCATCCATGCTTTTTTAGCTAGAGGCTGCACTTTTAGCTCGTATTTGAATAACTCAGTTCACTAATTAGGAGAATTAACTTTCCACACAAATTGGATTCCATTTTTCTATAGTTCCATACTCTCGGGGGCCCCAGGGACCTCAGAGGACAAGCTGCCCTTCTAGAGCAGCTGCACAGGGACCTGCTGGTTGGGGAAGTATTTGTGGGTGGGCAGAGTTCCTCTGCTCCATCACATGAGCACACTGGTGAATGGTCCAAAACTAAAATAGATGTTTATATAGAAAGTCCGAGAGGAGATTTTTGCCCGGCTTGAGTTCTTTCCTATCCCACCCTAACACTTAATGTATTACTCAGTCTGCTTTGTTAAAAGCACATATTACATTTTACTTGCCTCTTACTCTTTGCCCTTTAGCTAACCAATAAACTTTGATATAAGCATTATTACATAATTCTGTGTATCTCTTATGCCAGATATATTTCTCAAACTAAGATCTATGGTAGTTATTTTTTTCTTCAGAGTTCCATTAAATCATTTCTTTCCATTACTGCCCCACCTCTGCTGTAACATTTAGAAGTTGGCTTTGGGAACTAGGTTTTGGAAAACCAAAGTCATAGTTGTGAAAATGAAAACTTCCATATTCTCTTTTTGAAAAGATGTGGCCATTATTATATCCATCTTATTATAGGACTTTGCCTCATACAATTACAGTGATATTTGGTCAAGGAATTTTAGTGACCAGTTATACCTGATTATAAGCTGTATAGCAATTGCTACATGTCTTTGTACAGTGTAATTCAGTGGAGATCAGAATATTGTATGTATCATATTGAGAAAATTTCTAATATTAATGTAAAGCTTGAATTTATAAGAGGCTTATTTTATTCCCTTGGCTGAATGAATATTTGAATTTGTTGAATTAAACTTGATAATTTTATCCCAGAAATGTATTTTATATTAAATCAAATTGATGATTCTACCTATTTACATTGTTCATATAAATAATAGTCTATGCTAAACATTAATTTCATTTTGATGATTGGCCTTTAATATCTGTATCCCTAATTTTATTTTCTCTCCGTTATTGTAAAATAATAAATATAATGTACAACAGTATTCCTGAGAAGGTTCTATGCTGTTATTTAAATGAAAAGACTTACTGTGTATTGCCTGAAGTATTTTTATTATCTAGGCCTTGAAATGTACTTGTAAAGAAAAATGCCACAATTTTGATGGTAAACATGTTTCTTCTTTAATGTGTGCCTCATATTTTTATAGCTGGACTAATTTTTAGTTTTTCAGGGAAATTAAATAAGTCAATATGGAAATACTGGTTGTACTTGTTTTATTTCATTTTTGGAAAGTGAATTCCAAATTGAAAGCTTTTGACTAATTGAAATACTAAGTTTCCTACCAACAATAAATCAATCTTAGCCTAGAATATGAATATGAAACTCCCACCGACACCTTTGTAAGTATATGAATGCTTATTTAGAGGAAAGTTTAAACTATTTAGATAAAAGCATATATGCATTTATTAACTTTCTTAAATACATATTTTTAAAGTTGCATTGTGCTTGATGGACTTACATGTTGGACCAAAGCTTTTCAGAAATAAACATTGTAGGTTTTATTCTCATATAAGTCTTGGTAATTTATTTTTCCTTGAGCTTTTCACCCCTAATCTATCTAGAACATCATTGAATTTTCAATTAACTTTACATTTACTACTCAAAGGTCATTTCAGTGATTTATTCTTATTGAAAAGTCTTAAATAAAAATGCCTTAGGTAACTCTAAAACAAAACAGTTTCATTTCCTACTTACTTTTTCTTAATCCCTGGGAAGAATTACTTCTCTTATATGTTGTCTTGAGGATTAAGTAATTGAACCAGAAGATCTGGAAAGTATTCATTAAGTAGAAACAGGTCAGTGGCACTCAGTGGGGGTGATGTACTGCTCAGTGGAGTACCCCCTTTGTCTACAGCTATAATCAAAAAGCAGGAAGTAACGACCTCGTCATGAAACAATTTGAATTACAAGGGATCTTAAAACATACCTAATGTAACTACCATATCTGAAACTTGAACATGATAAAGAACATTTTTTATAAACTAATAGCAACATCATATTGGGAAGTGAAAAAATAGAGCCTTCCCATCAGCAAAACAGTAACTCCTGTTAGCACCACAGCATTGCTCTGGAGTTACCTTGTCAATGCAGGAAGACTACAAAAGGGAATAACTGGTATAAATATGTTGGAAAGTAAGAACAAAACGATCTTTTGTTTGTATGTTTGCCCACCTAGAAATCATAGACGCAACTAAAATATAGTATTAGAAAAACCATCATGAAGTCTGGAGACAAGATAACTGTAAAAATTAATTTTTTTCTATATCAGGGGTCATCAGATTATGGCTCACAGGCCAAATCTGATGTGTTGCCTGCTTCTGTAAATAAAGTTTTATGCCCATTTGTTTATGTATTGCCTATGCAGCTTTTGTGCTATAGTGACAAGAGCCAGGTTAGCAGGGGCAGAGATCATAGGGCCCATAGAGCCTAAAAATATTTACCATCTGGCCCTTTAAAGGAAAAGTCTGCCACCCTCTGTTCTATATCTTCAATAGGAAAAATGCCTCTGAGCAACAGGGAGATGTGAAATGTATAAAATACTTAAGATTCAACTTACCAAGAACTTGACCCATTGATGCTCGCATTCTAAATGAATAATAAATACATGAAAAGAACCAAGATATTTTTGAAAAAGAAGAGGTTAACTAAATTGAATTTAAATAAAAAATTTTAAAAAAAGTAAAAGTAATTGTGGGGAAGAGAGACTGTTTGCCTTAGCAATAATCAAAGTATTACCTAAAGTCACAGTTAATTCAAACAACGTGATTCTGGCTCAGGGATATACAAATGGATCAATGGAATGAAACAGTCAAGAAGGAGACTCAACAGACTCATATATATTTATGAATTTATTGTATGCTAAATGTAGCATTTCAAATCCAGAGCTTCAAAATTTATGACGCAAAAACTGACAGAACTGATAAAACTAGAAAGGTGGACAAGTCCACAATTGTCTTTGGAGATTTCACCATTCCTGTCTTAGTAATTGATAGAATAAGTAGACAGACAAATCAGTAAGAATATAAAAGATTTGAATAACACTACAAACCATTTTGACCTAATTGACATTTCTAGAGCACTGCACCAAAGTAAAGCAGGATACACATTTTTTCAAGTGCATGTGGGACATTCACCAAGAGTGATCATATTTTGGTGATCATAAGCCTTAATATAATTCATAGGAAAGGAACTATACAAGTATGTTTATGGAATTAACTAGAAATCAATAACATAAAGATATTTCAAAAATCCCAAAATATTTGGGAATAAAACAGTATACTTCTAAATAACTTACAGTCAAAGGCAAAAAATCACAAGAGAAATTAGAAAATATTTTGAAATAAAATAAAAACATAACATGTGGGATGCAGTGACAAAGTTTTTGGAGAGAGTCATGTGCTTAGTTTGTACCGTGCTGAATTTGTTATGCTTATGGGACCTCCAAGTGGCTGTACAAGCCTGGGCTGAAGACCTAGATCTGGAGGAATGTTTTCCTTGAAGTCAGTGCTTGAAAGTATGGGAGTGGATGAGCTCCCCCAAAGAAAGTGAGATGGAGGCCAATGGCAGGGTCCTGGAGAATGTCAACATTCATTCCTACCTTGACTGCCCTTCATGGCCCAGCCTAAAATCCACCTCTTTCACGAAGCCCATGAAGCCTCCTAATACTCATCTGTCCCTCCTCTGATTCTTTCATCAGCACTTCTCAAACTCTCTGGTGAAGGACCCATTTTATTTACAAACAGATGGATCCCAAAACAGCCAAAATACCCATCACATATTTACTGGAAAATGTGGTGGGCTAACTTGAGGACAACAGCTAAAGCTAGAAGATTGTCCCACTTAAAAAGTGAGTAAGTGCAAGGAGCACTTGGTAAAGCCTAGAGGGGTTAGAACAATCTAGCTTTTATCCACTCTAAAAGCTGATGGGCTGAGATTCCTTTCTGGAACCAAGTCCCACACTGAGGAGAAACTGTAGAATCAAAATTGAGCAAAACAGGGATAATAGCGGTGAAGAAAAGAAAAGGCCCATATAAAAGTGAACAAGGGGAGCAGAGGCAAAACTTCAGACGGTGAGCTCAGTCAAGTTACCGGAGCTATCTGAGCAAACCCCTTAAAAGTTCAGGAAAATTAAATTCACCTAAAAATGAGTAACCGAAAAGTATCATGATTAAATCACATACAAGTTACTACAAGGGGGAAAAATGCTGGGAAACTCAATAGCATCCCTACGGACAATGAAGGTACACCAGAAAGACGTGATCAAAAAACAGATCAAAACTATAACCTAGTATTTCAAAATTAGCTTAAAGACATGAGGAAAATCACATAAGATACACAAACTACAAAAATCAGTATGAGAAGAATTCAAAGTTGTTTGACAAATTGAGGATTAGAGACAAAAGTTTTAAAAATGAAGACTAAATTAGAAAGAACACAAGTAAATAAATATAATAACTGATGCCTTGATAAGAAATAGGTTTCAGAGGAGAAACATTTTCAAAATAAAATGAAGGAAACAGCTTGAGAGCATGACAAATATCAATGATAGGCAAAGAAGACTACCATGCAGATAATATGACTTTTATTGTTTTAAAATATTTTATTTATTTATTTGACAGAGAGAGAGACAGCGAGAGAGGGAACACAAGCAGGGGGGAGCAGGAGAGGGAGAAGCAGGTTTCCCACAGAGCAGGGAGCCCAATATGAGGCTTGATCCCAGGACCCTGGGATCATGACCTCAGCCGAAGGCAGATGCTTAACGACTGAGCCACCCAGGCACCCCAATAATAGAAGTTTAAAGAAGAAAACCAAAGAAAGGGTACAGAGGAAACACAATATAATTTAAGAAAATATTCCTGAAATAAAAAAAATATTTAAAATTACATATTGGAATACTACAGTACATACCTGAGACTATCAAATGAGCTTGACCAATGCCAAGGAATGTTTTAGTAAAATTAGTGAAGTTTGAAGAAAAAGAAAAAAAATCCTTTGGGCATCTATGCAAAAAGAATATGAGGAAAATGAAATTAGGTTACTATCAGTCTTTTTGACAGTAACATTTTATGACAGGAAAAATAGAGTAATATATTTAAGATTTTCAAGGAAAAAATATGAGCCAAGGATTTTATATCTGGTAAAACCTTGATGTATAAAGGGTGTAAATTAATGTCAACACGGGAGAAAAAATTGTTCCCAAGTTCCCTTTCTGGAGAACCTACTAAAAAAACACACTTTAAATAACCAAAATACTTAGAGTCATTTACATAATGACATTATATATATATTCTAATTATATATATAATATGAATTATATATATTTAATGCTAATGTATGGATATATGTGTTTTAAAATAAAAGGGAGAAATTTTGGTATACAAATATCTATATTACCTAACAAAGTAGATATAGTCTTTTAAAAATGGGAGAGAATAGTATAACATGGGTATAATATAGGCAAAACATGTTTAAGTGTTTTTGGTAATAACTGGTAGAGTAGTATTGAATTGTTATGAATTGAATTGTCTATCATAATGTTGGGGAAAGCAAATGAGTAATTATGGAATATTTGAATTCAATCATCCTTTGCATCCTTGTGAATGAGGACTCTCAACGTGGAAGAAAAAAGATACAGGTGTAATACAGAAGTTTAGTAAAAACCATATAGTTCTCACTTAGAAATGACAATATGAACTAAGAAACTGTTTAGATGATGGATAGATAGATGATTCGTTGGTAGGGGATTGGTATGTAGATAGATAGATAGATGATAGATAGATAGATAGATAGATAGATAGATAGATAGATAGATAGATAGATATGATAGATAGATGCTCTGTCAACTTAAATGCCCTAGAAACAGTGACCAACCAGTAAAAGTGAACATCACTAGTGCCCAGATTTCAGTTTCTAAATCTTGCAGGAGTGAAAGTGATAGAAAGACATTTTCAGACACAACAAACTAGAGAGTTTGCCTCAAGCAGAATACCCTAAAGGAAATTCTAAAATGAAAATGGCAGAAAATGATCTCAGATTAATGATGGAATTAAGAGCAGAGAATGGGTTAAATATGTTGTTGAGTTTAAAATACACATACTGAATTTAAATACATTATAACACTAGTATATTGTTCAGGAGTGATGTAGATAAATTTAAAATGTTCTAAGGTCTTTACATTATTCAAGAGAAGG